CCGCACCTGGACTAGTTTCACGGTATACCTAACAACAAGTACCTGATAACTCTTTTTTTTTGAAACTACCAAGTACCTGATAATTCTATCCACGAAGGCTAGAACAGATGGGAAAAAATCACCTAGTGTTTTGTCTCTGATGGGAGTTGAACCTGAGACCTCATGTGTCTTTCTCTCTGTTTTTCCAACTACATTGAGTCTGCAAAAAATTATGCCTCCTAATGTGTCAACTAAATTTCCCCTTGCTCATCCAACAACACAACTATCTGGCTATTTGCTGTCCTTTTCACTTCAATTGTACAGTAGCTATTATCAAATGTCAACATTGCACATGGAATGACTTCATTTATTTTTGCTTTGACTCCTTGGTTTCTGTAGTTGAACTCCCCGACATGCATCCGAACTGGTTCTCGGTAATAGACACATCCCTCCTCACCCTCATCTCCACCAAGCTCTCCCACACTTTCATAGTGTGGCATAGCAGTTCCATAACCCTATAGTTGTTGTAATTTTGAAGAAGACACTACTAGTGTTGCTCATAATGACTTACATGGACTAACATACTAAAAAGATTGAATAGGCTGATACATACACTTGATTTGTGAAAGGATAAAATTGTGAAACTTAAACAAGAGTTCATGAGAGTGGCCTGGGGTTCTGTCTAGCATCATTATACAATTAAAAAAGCTTTGCATTCTATTACTCTGTAGCGTTCAAGGTCGGCCAAGTTGGCCTGGTCACCACGGTCATTAAGAAAAAGAAAAACTTTGTAGCGTCTTTGAAGAGATCATATATTAATTGTCTTAGATTCATTGGCCATTTTAACTTGGGATTGAGGTGTAGTTGATTAATTACCAGTTATTGGCCATTTTGAGGTAGTTAAAGCATGCATGCATTGCATAGCAATGATATTTGCTGCAGATTAGTAAATTAATCTTAAACCTGGTTGGACCTGTACTATCTAATGATGTCATTAGGGAAAACAACGGAAGTCTTAAAACTTTTTGGGATATTTAAAAAAAGGTGTAGATACATCTATAAGATGATATGAATGCAAAATTTCAATTTTTCACCTTTGAATTCTTGTATATTTGTACTACAGTGCATTATTCTTGTGTGTGTGATTTACAAACTATTGTGAAAAATGCAAGTGTCAAGGATCTTTATTTCAAAATCTGTTGTAACATTTTTCTTTTATCAGTACGAAAACCTGTTCGAACTTGATATCTGTGTGTGAAGGTTATTTGGCTGATAACTTCTTGCAGATAAGAAGATAGATGGAAGATTGCGAGCTGACAGAGATGCTGACAATCAGCAGCTCCTGCTGTTAGAAGAAAAGGATGTTGTATCATCTGTAGCTAATGTGCTTTCTGATCTCTGTGGTCCAGGAGAATGGATGCCAATGGAGAAGCTTCATGCTGAGGTAATTTTAAAGCTATCTGTCATACATATACCAAACTTCTATTCTTCAAACAAAGACTAAAACTTATTTGTTTACAAAAACAAATGAAACAGAAAAAGGCATTGTTGTTTTATTTTCTCCCTTCATTCTTCCTACCCTGAATTCTCAGAATGTGAAGTTAATTAAGGTCAATCAAGTACATTATTCAAGGCATAACTGGCCGCTTTCCCCCTTTGTGATCTTCTTTTGCCCCTAAATACAAATTCGGCGAATGGGGTGGAATTTTGATTTTACATTCTCTGTTGATTCTCCAAATGGTCAAATGGCAGTAAAAGTGGTTTTGTGTGTGTGCTCGGAGGAGGAAGAAGGATACATACGTCCTGGTTGCTTCTCATCATCCTCTTGAAATCAAGTGGCTATTTCTTTCATTATCTGTTCTCTTGATTTTCTTATCATCCACTTGTAATTTTCAAGTGGCTATTTCTTTCATTATCTTTTCTGTTTTCTCTCTGCTGCTCCCTGATCACCTTTCTCTTGAATATCATTGGCCTTAGCAGTACGGCCTATCTTACATTAATTCTATGTTGCTTTGACTCTCCGAAAATGCTGCTGCACCCGTATCAGATCCTCCAAAAATGCACTATTTCCGGAGGATCCAATTCTCACCCGTCAGCATTTTGAAGAGTCCAAGCAACATAGTATTAATTTATCCACTAAAAATAGAGATTCAAGTATGACATATCCCCAGAAATTTGACATTTTCAAGGTGCCCATATGCGAGGGTTCTATTTTCTTTAATTATAGTTCTTTTAATACCTGAAGCCCTGATCCGTAATACCTGAAGACCCATATGTTAAGTAAACTGCTGAGTTTGTGCCCTCTTTATTCTTCTTTTTTAGTAGTTCCACGTCACACACGCACTATCTCTCTGTCCAACCATTAAGTTTGCTTGTTGAGCCTGCACTTTGGAACTGTCTACTTTTTATTTGCAGGTCAGTTGAAACAGTAGATCTCTTACTGATAACAATAGAAAAAAAAACATAGATCTTTTTCAGCTATCAGTGGGGAAGAAAGAAATGTGTGGTTATATGCATTCCTTCTTGTTTTATGCTAGTCCAGTAGTTTACGAAGGGGTCTGGTGGTGGGTCTGGAAGAACGTATCTTAATGTCATTTGAAGTGGCAGTTCTCAAGGCCATCTAATATTGACAGTCTTGTTCGTCCTCTAAAATGGCTCCTAAACAATACTGATTCTCGTCATCTTAATGTCATGAGTATATCAGAAACCATTACTGCTTCATCATCATGGTAGTAGTTGGATAATTCCCTCCCCCTTTTTGGGTCTAAGGCACATAAACTTTTGTGTTTTGTTTGAGAATTGGAATTTTGGCTGATTGTCGTTTCATGTAACTGCAGTTGGTCGAACACTATGGCGATACCTGGCACCATAGTCGTGTGAAGAGGTACCTAACATCGGAGGACTATCCCAGCCCAGAAGCCAAAACAAAGCCATGGTATGGATTGCTGGTGCTGTTGAGGAAGTATCCTGAGCATTTTGTCATCAATACACGATCCAAGGGACGAGTGACTTTGGAGTTTGTTTGTCTTGTCTCACTACTTTCGTGAGAACTTGTCAGACACCTTTTAGCTGTGTAGCTTAGCTTTAGTTGAGCCTCAAGCCACTGGGGTCAAACATGGGGCATTTACTTGGTGGACAAAATTACTTGCTAGTTCTCTGATAAAATAGTCGAGATGTGCGCAAGTTAAGCCAAACACTACTGTATTACTGTGTAACCATTTCTCATACTTTCTAGAAACATTTAAAACGATCAAAAGAAATTGTAGGATTCATCTTTTTATATTATAGTTCCGCTAGTGCTGGCAAAATGAGGTTATATTTTGGTAACCTGCCCAATCCGTCCATATTTTAATGGGTTGGGTGAGTGACTTTTTACATGGGTAAAATATGGGTTGATACCCATATTCAACCCATACAAATATGGGTAAACTATTGGTAAAATATGGATTAGCCAAATGGGTTAAGCTTCTAATTTTTATTCACTCAAAATTCATGATATCACTAAAAATATTGTAACTTTTCTTCCTTTTTATGTTCTTCTATAGAACTAATTATTTTTCTCTATAATTGAAAATGTGAAGTCTTTGGTCCTCTAAAAATATATATTTTAAATCTACATTTCTTTTGTTAATTTTAATTAGATTTTTTATTTGGTTAATTTTATATTGGATAATAAATAATAGTGTAAAGTAAGTAAATCATGTATTAGTATTGACATTGTTGAAAGTGCATTAAGCATGTTTTAGTCCTAAAATGCAAATATTCATTTACTTTGAAATTAAAAATATTTTTGCCTTGTTATTACATAAATTTATTTTATATTGAAAAGTTATAGGATTTTTTTTTTTACTTTTATGATACAAAAAATTAAATGAAGCATTTTCAACATTTTTCATAAAAAAAACAAAAATATTTTCTCCATGTTGAATTCTTAAGTAGAGTACTATTCACTCATGAAAATATGGGTAAATATGAGTAAACTAGTATTTTACCCAACTCATTTGTTACTCAATCTATTTTTAGCCATATCAATTATGGACGGATTGAATTATTATCTATTTTATGTTGACCCATTTTTAATCTGCCCAAATTGACGAAACCCGCCCATTTGCCACCACTAAACTTCCGTATAAAGGAGAGTTACAAATTTTGAATATTTTTTTGGGAAGGTTGATTTACCTCAATAGTTCATGCAACTTTTCTAGTTGGACAGTATTTTTATACATAATATTATTGATTACTAAATTACAGTGCTTACCAATTTGTCTCCGCAAATACAGTAATTATATGTCAAAAACAGCCAAGGTGGTTGAAAAAATCAACAAATAAATATCAATACATCTATGTTTTTTAGGAAATACATTATGCCCTTCGGCATACAAGCATAACTTATAAGATATTATGTTCAGTGTTAGGGATATAACTTTTGAAATAATACGATATAAGTTTATTTCCGTAAAAAAGTTATTTGTTATTTCAGTGTAACAAATATTATCCCCGTAAAAAAGTTTGTTATTTAAGTGTAACGGATAGTTATAAAAAAATTATTTGTTATTTAAGTGTAACGGACATTATCCCCGTAAAAAAATTGTTATTTAAGTATAACGGATATTATCCACGTAAAAAAGTCTGTTATTTAAGTGTAACGGAAATTATCCCCATAAAAAAGTTCGTTATTTTAAGTGTAACGGATAGATAAGGACATAACTTTTGAAATATTACGATATAAGTTTATCCCGTAAAAAAGTTGTTTGTTATTTAAGTGTAACGGCTATTATCATCGTAAAAAAGTTGTTTGTTATTTAAGTGTAACGGTTATTATCGTCGTAAAAAAGTTATTTGTTATTTAAGTGTAACGGCTATTATCGTCATAAAAAGTTGTTTGTTATTTAAGTGTAACGGATATTTTCGACAAACCCATTCCGAATTAACTTAGCCCATAAGGTCTCTCCACTGGCGGCCCATTACAAATTACCGGAGCGATCATATAAAGCTTTTGAAAAGAGCGATTTAACAAACAGAAGTTGAAAGTGAACAAAGCGGAAATTAGGGTTTTGTTTTGTTGCCGACCAACGACGATGATTTACGACGTGAATTCGCCACTTTTCCGATCCTTCCTCAGCCAGAAGGGAGGCGCATCTGACAAGAGGTACATATAATTTCTCTCGCTAACCGTAAATTCATCACCGCTCAATGTTTTATGCTCATTATGCAATGTTCTCCGATTTAGGGTATTATGAATTTTATGATTTATGCTGTAGGTCAGGCTTATTAGGGTTACATTCTCAAATTCATAGCCTAACCTAACACGTAAAGTTTAATAGTTTGTGAGGTGGATTTTGCCTGCTTGCAGAAGAAGATTCCTAATTACTAGTCTGTTAGATTTCCTTTTACATTATCTGCGCCGCATTGCATGCCCGTTCCTTTTGTTCGTTTCCTTTTAGGTGTGTTACGTGGAGGCTTTGAATAGATTTTATATATAAATTTCTCTATTAGCTCTACTCTATTGTGAGCTTTGTATAAATTTGTCAATTTGTTCTGCTCTATTGCATAACAGCGATGAGTTATGTAGTGGTTGACTAGTAAATATGCTTGATAGGCAATTGTGTGAATGTTTTCATATTTTGGTCATGCTTTGTCAATACACTTTCTTGTAACCGTTAAGTGTTTGTGTAAGACTGAAATTTTGATTCAGTTTCAGATATAATTCGATTAGGAAACATGTTGATTTTTGGCTTTTTCTATGCTTTGCTTAGTAGGTATTTAATGTTATATAGAAACCGAAGCAATCTCGGTCGTAATGATGAGATATTTTCCTACTAGATGTCATGTTTCTGATCACGTAGCGTTTCATGTTGTCTTGTAGTATACATGCATCTTGCCAAAAATTGTTTTCCAATGTTATTCTGGCTTAATACAATCTATAAGAAAGCATCTTTTAGGAAAGCACTGAACATTGCACTTCAAATCCATCAGAATCAGCTACTTGTGGCAAGTAGCTGTTTAGTTAACAGAACATTCAGATTAGAGTCTCTAAGATTGATTTGAGTTCTTCAAATTGGGTTTTAAGCTATGTTGCTCTTCAAAAATATCTCCAGGTGTGTCAATCCTCCAAAAGCTATACCCTTCTGGAGGGTCTAACACACGTGTGCCAACATTTTTGGAGACATTGAGTAACATTCGGTTTTAAGTACACTAAGGGGTCATGTATATGGGATAAGTTATCCCAAACATGGCAACCAAACAAGACATCTAAATTTTATCCCAGTACTATTTATTTTTATCCCTCACACCAAACGATCCCTAAATGTATTATTTAGAACATTCCTGTATCTTTATCTACTGTAGTTTTCGTGTCCACTTGGTGTGGTTCTGTTCCTCATTGTCGTGTCAACAGCCTCACTTCATACCACAAAGCATTTTATGAGGCAGTGCCTCTTAACCTTTTTGTTTAATTCTGCAGGAAAACAGAAGAGCAGAAGCCCAAGGAACAGAGGCCAAAAGCAAGTGAAAACAAGCCTGTTATGAATGAATGAGAGCTGCCAGATGTTAATTTATTTTAGAATATCTGGAATGTTGTTAAGCAACTCTTTTGCAAGATGTTGAATATGTAGTGCATTTGACATTTTAATAGATCATATATCTAGTAAGATATTTGATCCTTTACTTCTATTGGTTTTAATTTCCGATCCAAGCTTTTGATTTTGGGACTACGTTAGTGGGTAAATGGTGGATTAACTAAGTTTTAGAACTTGAGAATCAGTAGTGTAACCATTGGAAGCAAGATCTTTTTTTTCAAATTTCTTCTTTAAACAACCAAAAAATTAGAGTAGTCAGTCGTTAGTAATTCACAATAAACTTTTCGCTAGTAGCATTTAGTTCTTAAGTGGGGGTGATCGATTATTCCTGATCTAAATGTAATCTTATCTATTGCTTGAAGAATTGTGTTTGTAAACACAATTGGATGCTAAAAAATGCATCTCCATGACCATAATTGCTTAGTTTCTACTTGCCATTTCAATATAATTTTGCAATCATTATATAGAGATTTGACTGTGTATTCTCATTGTTTCAAAATTAAATCACACACCTAGGCAAACAGATGTGTATATAGAGAGAGAATCCTTTATTCACGCCGCATTTACCATCAAAACTTCACAAGTCACAACACTGTTTTTACAGGGTACAAGATTCTTCTTTTACTTATTCTTCCCCCATTTCTCCTCCATCTTCCATTTTTCAATTCCCCCCTTGTTCTCCACTACTATTCTTCAGGAATAAAAATGTCTGAGCTGTTCTTATCTATCAATTCTACAAATACTCAATTTTCTACTCTTTTTATCTTTGACTTCCTCTCCCTTCATTCTCTTCTTCTAATCTTTCTTCAACTTGTTAAAATCCTATCTTTTCTCTCCATTACCACTCCCCTTTTGCTATTTTCCTTCAACCCCAAAGATCTTTTTTTTGAATCAAACAAGTTTAGTATTATTCTCTCTGTATAAACATTAAGGTTAAAGTCTTCAAAATGGTGGTTTTAGGACACCCTTTTGAATTCTTGGATTGTAAATCAGCTAATGGAAGTGAAAGCTCAATTCTTGTTGAAACTCAATAGAATTTTGGGGAGTCTTATTAGCTCAGTTTGTTGGCTAAACTTTCACCTTGTTGGTGAAGTTTGATTCCCTATGTTGTAATCCCCTCCATCATTTCCCATTCCCCTACCCCCATTTTTTTTTTATGAAGTTGACTTCTAGGACTGTAAATCAGCTGAGGGGAGTGAAAGTTCAATTCTTGAGTCATCATGTTATGAGTTAGGCTCCAGTACAGCCATATGTGATGATTTTTATTTAAGAAATAAACTGGGAGAAAATTGAGCTGAAATGAGTAGTACTAGGGGCATAATGAAGAAGAAGATACTGGAAGACTTCTTGAAAGAACTTGATGTGTTTGAAGAGAAGAAAATTGAGTCGAAGGGAACAAAGTTCCATAAAGCAAAAGATTGGAAAAGGACATTGGGATGCAAATTTTATGAGGAAAGGCACAATGCTAGTAATAGCAGTGGTGAAGGAATGGATTTGTTATGGGAAAAGTATGAACTGGACTCTATAAAGAAAGAAAACAGAGATAATAAAAAGAATAAGAAGAAGAAAAAAGAAGAGGTGAAGAGCTATGTAAAAGTAGAGCAGATAAATGAGCAGATTGATCAGTTGTGTTGCTTACAGGCACTAAAGTTGTCAGCTAGGAAAATGAATTTGGGAATTGGAAGGTCTAATTTTGTGAGGATTTCTAAGGCAATTAAAGGGCTTAAATGGATACACCATGTGAGCAAGAATAACAAGAAGGTTCATTGTGGAGATTGAGAGTTTTGATATTACTTTCTAGTTTCTATGAATAAAACTAGAAATTGTTTGTAGTACTTTCTGGTTTTGAAATTGTTTGTGAATTCCTTGTATGTTTATCCCTTCATATGACAAGAACTAAACATTTTATCGGTATGAACTATGTCTGAATCTCAACCAAGTTTAGGTTGGCTACATGCCTCTCAATTTATGCTCATTTCTTTTGGTATTGTTAGAATTCATCATCTATTGACTAGCTCTGCACTAGTAGTCAAACTACAGTAACCCTCTTCGTATATCCAAGCTTGGAACCAACAATATAAACAGGCTCACACAGGCAGAGTTTTATTCCATATCTGTCTCTATGTTAAGTAAAATGAGATCCCAAATCTCAACAGTAGTCAAGTAGTGCTGTTTTATCAAAGGTTATTTTGCTGTCTGGCTCAATTTTGTCTACTTGCAACAGTAAAAGGCAGAGGAATTCTAGAGGGTTTGGGAGCGTGGTGTGTAGGCATACCTTACCACTGGAGACGTAGAAAGGTTGTTTCTAATGGACATTAGCAACAAGCAGGAACAATCAACAAGATACAAAAATACATTAGCAAAACACCCTATTACCTATTAACCCTCTTATCAGAAGTTATTAACCTTCTTACGGCCAACCTCTCGCACCTCCTTACCGGGGCATCCTTACCTCTCCTCTTCAGGATCACACAATATAGCTACACATAAGGGAGTTAGGGCAAGAATATGCAGATCAGCTAGTATAATGAAGCAAAACTGATGCAATAGAGATTTGGCAATTATGTCTAAAGCAAGATTAAAACAGTAAAAGTCATTAGGCCTTCCTTATCCAAATAGCATTTTCTTGCTGATACAAAACAAAGAAAATTGGTCACATACTGTTCTCTTCTATATTAGTAGTTGTTTTGGTCACTAAATCTATTTATGAATTGCATTCATCTTTCTATTGCATCTTCAGACTTCAGATCAAGGAATGTAATCTTCATCAGACTCATCAGATTGGAAAATTGGTCACATCTACATACTCTTTTTGGTCACTATATCTATCAGAATTGCATTTACATTTCCATAGCATCTTCAGAGTTCAGTTCAAGGCATGTCTCCACCAGACTAATCAGCAAATTTATCGAACCAAAATCGTTTTCACTATCCTCGATTGATCCTTTTGGCAATTCTTCAACAATTTCAAGATTAGCCCTTTTCCTTTTTGACAATACTACTTTGGAACTTTGATTCGCTTCCACAGCTACAGATGAGGGAATTTCTTCACTGATCCAAGAACTCATGTTAAGACATTATTTTTCGAAGAAAAAAAAAGTACATAAAATTAAGGACATTTTGTAATTCTTGAAAGAAAATGTACCCTTGCTCAATATATTTGTTCTGGAGAGGAAAAAGATCTGTGCTTCGATTAGCAGATTCAATTGTATCCTAAATCAAGAAAGAAGATCATTTTTTCAACTCAATCATTAAACCACAGAACATAATACATAAATGGTGATGGTTAAAAAGAAAATTGGAATCAGATAAGCAGAATTAATACCGGGATCATGAAGTTCGCGTTCATTGGAGAAAATAATTCTTGCAGAATTGGTTTATACTCTGCTTCTTCTTGTACTGCAGACTTCATCTTTTGTTTCTTATTGTGGCCATTTTCGCGTTTATCTTCAGACATGATCTTGATGAGCTTCTTCTTGATTTCGAATTTGAACAAGAAGAAGAAGATGATGATAGTGAAAGTTGCAGAAGAAAAGTAGAAGCAGAGAGCAAGAAAGAAAAAGCGAGGGAAGTGGGACTATTTTTTGAACTATTTATAATTGTAATTAACTAACTTTGTTGTTTGTTAAGGAAAAAATACTAACTAACTTTTGGAGTGTTTATATTAGTGATACAATTTCGTAGTTATTATCATTTATTTCTTCATTTAACTATCTTAATAGTGACAAATTAAAATAACATCGCCTTCATCAAGCATTACATGTTAAAAGGGAATTTAAATTATATGCGTGGACGTAACGAATTTTTTTTACATTGTTTAACATAATTATTTGATTGTGTAAGTCTATAGATTTTCATATTGGCTAAACTAGTTTGAGACTGAGCTCAAGTGGTTAGTGAGCTCTATTTCTTAATAATACGAAAATATTGAGCAAACCACACCTTTAGGATGATTAACGTAAATATATCCTTTTAAATTTTATCTTTAAAAATGTACTTGAATAGTCTTTGATATTAACAAAATACTAGATACTAGACTATTACTATATACTCTATATGTTTTATATATTAGGTATGATATACAAAAACTATATATATTTTGATACAAAAAAATATATACTTTGTGTATATTTGGCTATTATCAGTATTGTGTAACAACTATATAATGTGTACACGACATTATACCTTCTTTGTAAGACTAATAAATCTAATTATTTTGATCGATCGGCAACACCTATTTAAGCCCCAACACTATGGGTTGGGCTACGACGAAATTGGGCCTTGCAAACTACTTTTATATAGCTCTAATTAGTTTCATTATTGTACTTATTTAGTCCCCAAACAATTTATTAAGCACATTGTGAAATTTCCAATAATTGCAAAATTTCAAGTTAGAGACAAATACAGCGTGCAATAAAAGTAAAGGCACGTTTTTGAAAAATAAATTAATTGTTCAAAATTGTTATCCTATATTTAATATGGAATAAAAATATAACAACAATTACGAGATAGCAATTTATCTAACAATTTTATCTCAACTAAATATGAAATAAAGTTTTTAGTATCATAGAGTAGGACCCACTTGCTTTATCAAAACGTGGGACCCATACCCAACTCCACCGTCAAATCCGCGTTTCTTCCTCACTCGCCAGTTGCCTCTCTCCAATTTCTCCATCCATTCATCTTTCAAAGTGTGAAATAATCACACTCATAAATTAAACAATAAATACTCCTCTCTCTCTCTCAACCATAAAAGTGAAAGCAAGCATTATATCTCGGAAACGGAGACTTGCTTAACAAAAATGGCTCTCCGGAGCTCCCGTACGGTCACCGGCACCGGAATACGGCTCACCTTCAGCCTCTTCGTGTCTTTTCTCACTGTCGCTGTTTTCCTTCTCTTAGCTCTCTCTTCTCTCTACACTTCCTCTGCAGATCCCTCTGATCTCGGCGTCGTAAGTACTTACCTTCGCAATTTCTCCCTTCTCATTTATCTGTATGCGGTTGATTTACTGTCGGTTAGCCTATAATCTGTGTATTTTTTTTCTTGTTGAGTTGTCACATTTTCTTATTAAGTTGTGATCTCGTGATACTTTACTTAATTTTTTGTTACTTTTTG